CAGGAAAGGGGGCGCGGCGCCCCGCAGGTGCTGAAGAGCTGGGCTCGGCTGGGGGTCGGAGGGAGCTTCCCGGGGAACCGCGCGCGGGGCGGGGGACGCACGACCCCGACACCGCCTCCCGGCCCCGCCAGGTCCCGGCGGCCCCTTCGAGGTTTGGAGCCTGGGACTTAGAAACCAAACGATGAGAGGTAAAACAAGAAAGTATAGTCACACTCAAGAAAATGGCGTGGAAACACGTGTTTCTGTCACATCCAAACCTGCCACTTGTGGTTAGAGCCGGCGTTATAACACCGAGGTCAAGGGTTCAGACCCCCGTACCGGCCAGCAGCCAAAAGAACAAAACAAAACAATCTGCCACTTGCTCACTGAGCAGTGGACAAAGGGCCACTTGGATGCCCAGACAGGCGTGTGACCCTAAGCGGCAAGCAACCCCTTTTAAAAGTCAAGAAAAACTGTCGCCCAAAAACAACAACAACAACAACAACAACAACAACAACAACAACAAAGGGCCAACCCCGTGGCGCACTCGGGAGAGTGAGGCGCTGGGAGCTCAGCGGCGCTCCTGCCGCGGGTTCGGATCCTATATAGGGATGGCCGGTGCGCTCACTGGCTGAGCGCGGTGCAGGCGACACCAAGCTGAGGGTTGTGATCCCCTTACCGGTCACAAAAAAAAAGAAAAAAGAAAAACTGTCGCCCAGGGCACATGGACACAGTCGTGGCTCCTACATCACAGGACAGTGCCCACGGAACCCTCAGACGTGAACGGGAGCATCTGTGGGACAGGGCAGATCAATGTGGACAGAGCCAGAAATGCCAAAGGAGCAGAGTCCTAGGGAAGGTGATAGCAGGTAGGACGCCCCTGAGATCCTGCCCCACCTGTTAAAGGGGAGAAAGAGGCGGTGGGCAGAGGGGCAGGAGGGCTGCACGGCTAGGGGTGGGGAGGCACAGGCAGACCTGCTTGGCGGCCGACACTTCTCCAATGAGAGATGAAGTAAGGCCATCTGCAGAGGTGGGGGCTCAGAGGTGCTGGGGAGGGACCGTGATGGGCTGGACAATCGCCCAGGACACATGAAAAGGGCTATGGATCATCGTGGGCTGGGGTGGGGGGGAGAGGTGAAGAGATCTCCAGTACAAGCCCCGGCAGGGTCAGGGCTCTCAGCTCCTCTGTTAAGAAGCCTTTGCCCCCCAAAGGTCAGCTGAGTTCTCCCTCAGTCCCTGCAGTGTGAGCTCCGTGTTTAGTGGACACTGCCACCCAGGCCACACTATCAGTGTTCTTCTGGGGCAGGCATTGTATCAGGAGCTGGTGGTTTTCCGCACCTTCCCCCCATTACTCCTGGCTAATCTCTGGGTGTTCAGTTTGTAGGCTGGGTTTAGGAGGAAGTTGGTAAATCCTAGATGTCTCTCCAGTTGGCAAAGGTTCTTGAAAAATCAGTGTTTCTTGGAGTTGGCTGTGGCATATGATTTCCTTCCCCATGCCTCATGGAGTTGGCTGGGGCATATGGCTTCCCCATTCCTGTGTTGGGCCAAGGAGCTCTCAGACATGGCCCTTCCTGTCCAATTTGCTTCAGATCCCTGCAGGCCATGCCTGCCTCCCTCCAGCACAGGTGGACTTGTGGAGCATAACATAAGACTGACCTCTGGCTTGTGTTATGAGTGAATGGCAGGCTGGATCTGATGACCTCAGGCCCCTCACCCCTTTTGCTCTTTCCTCCTACCCCCTTTCTGCTTCCCGGAGAATGCAAGTGATGGCTAGAGCTCTGGTGGCCACTTTGGGCCATAAGGGGTGTTACGGAGTTATGCTGCCATGAACCAAGGAACACCTGGGGCCAGGAAAGATTCATGCAACAGATTCTTCTATAGAGACTTCAGCGGGAGCATGGCCGACACCTTGATTTTGGACTTCCAGTCTCTGGAACTGTGGGAGAATGAATTTCCATTATTTTAAGGCACCCAGTTTGAGGGAGGCTGTGTATAGCAGCCCTAGGAGACTACTACAAGGGGACTCTGAGGATGGACACCTCTGCTGAGCACAGTGGAGCAGAGGCAGAAGGGGCCTGGGCCCCAATAACCATGGGATGCCACACTCTGGTTCTATGACCACCAGGCTTCTTTTCCATAGGAGAAAGCCCTCGTGTGTAATCACTGTTGGTTAGTTGGGTTTTTCTGCTGTGAGTAAACAAGTTTGATCACTGATTGGGAACAGAATCCCACTTGCTGCCCATACACCCTGGAGAATTTCTCTGACCCCATGTCCCAGGCAGGGTCTCCATTATCACAGAGGAGAAGACTGGGGCTCGCTGCCCGGAGACCCCAGAGTGCAGCCATCCTGGCTCCTGTCAGGGCCCAGGCACCCCATAGGGAAGGAGGTGTGCTCTGATGGTTGACCTTTCTCAGCTGGAGACCTTTCCCTTCCAGCAAGGAGAGCACGGCTGGGCGGGGCAAAAGTGTCTTTATTGAAGCTGGAGCTGGGGCACAGGGAGGAGAGCTCTCCAGCTAGTGGGCTGTAGGTTCAGGTGTGTCTGGAGGGTCCAAGGCGCCAGGGCCGGGAGTCAGATTCAAGGGCCCGAGACCGGGACAGGAGTATCAGAGCGTGATGTTGTCCTCGTACAGCGACAGCAGCAGCAGGACGGTCCAGCCGCCCAGCAGGCCCACGTTGTGCAGCAGGAAGAGGAGCCAGGGCCGCCGGTCCCGCACGTTCAGCACGGCCGGGAGCTGGGGAGGGGGTGGGCACGGCGTCAGCGGCCGGCTCAGCGCCCCCGCTCAGCTCCCCGCCCTAGGGCAGCCCCTCCCCGCCGCGGCCCTGACCATGTCGCAGAGCGCCACGTAGAGGAAGAGCCCGGTGGCAACCGCCAGGATCCAGGTCTCGCTCTGCTCGCTGACTTCGACAGCGAGCGCCACGTACAGGCCGGCGAAGGCCGTGAGCGCCGAGGCCAGGTTCAGCAGCAGCGCGCGGCGCACGGACAGCCCCGCCTGCAGCAGCGCCGCGAAGTCGCCTGCGGGGGGCGGGGCAGTCAGGAGCTCCGCCCCGCCCGCAGGCCCCGCCCCGCAGGCCCCGCCCCGCGCTCACCCAGCTCGTGCGGCACCTCGTGGCAGAACACGGCCAGCGAGGTGGCCAGCCCGGTCTTCCAGGAGGACGCGAAGGCGGCGCCCACAGCCAGCCCGTCGGCGAAGTTGTGCACGGCGTCGCCCAGCGTGATCAGGCAGGGCAGCAGCCTCAGCTCTGCGGGCGCAGCGGCCGTGGGTCCGCCCGGCCCGGCCCCACGCCCCGCGCCAGCCCCGGGTCCCCAGCCCTTCCGGGGCCTCCCTCAGGCTCACCTGGGCTCAGTCTCCTCCGGGGCTCGCGGTTCAGCAGCTCCGGGCTCTCCTCGGCCACCTAGGAGGAGCGCGGATGAGCCCCGGGGCTGGGAGCTGGAGGACGGGCGCGGCGGGGCTGGGTCCCCGGGTGCGCTGGAGGCCTCCGGGTGCGGGGTGGGAGCGCCGGCGCGGGAAGGGGCCCGGGGAGGGGCCTCGCGCGGGGTGGACGCTCTCGGCGGCGGACTCACCAGGTCTGCGCGGGAACCCTCGTGGGGCTGCCGGGGCTGCCGGAGCTCGCTGGGCGCCAGCTGCAGGGACACGCCATGGCTGTGGCCGCTGTGGCTGCATGGCCCATTCTTCTCTGGGTCCTGTGGGGACGGCGGTTCAGGGCCCACCGCCTCGCAACCCCGCCCACCCTCCAGGTCCAGTCTGCAGCCTGACCTCCGGGTCCCTGGGCAGCAGGAGGTTGAAGAGGTTCTCTAACAGGAAGAAGGCGTAGAGGCCCCCGAGTATGGCCAGGAGGCGCCAGGTGGACTGAGGGTCGTGACCGTCCTCACTGTGGGTGTGCAGTCCTAGCACCTGGAGAGCAGGGGACGCTGGGCTGGGGGCCTTCGGGACCCCTCCCACCCGGACAAGGGGACAGGGGCTGGGGATGATGGGGAAGGGTCCAGGAGGGCGTACCCTGGGAATGCAAGGGTGGGGAAGGGGGGGTCCTGACAGTGACAGCAGACCTTGGGCATCAGGTGCAGGATGGCGTCGCCAGTGAGCGCACCCACGGCCATGCTCAGGAAGGTCTGCAGGATGTAGTGGGTGGCTGCACTGCAGCCCGCGCAGGTTAACAGCAGAAGACCAAACACCGCGCAGAGGCAGATGAGCAGAGTGGCCAGGGAGCCATACAGATACTCTGCGGGTGGGTGGGGGCCGCAGTGAGGACTTCCCTCCCTACCTCTGCCCCAGCCCCTGCTTCCCAGGGGACTGCCCAGGTTGGGGCCAGGAGTGAGCAGGAGCTCACCAGGCTGCAGGTGGTCAGTGCCAGCCAGGCCTCTGCTCACGCTGGCGCTCCTGCCTTGAAGCCCTGCTCCTCTTCCGTTCAGGGTCCCCCACCTTTCCCTCTTTCGATCTCCAGCCCCTACCCAGTTCTCTCTACCCTTCCCCCACCTTCAGTGGCCACTCCCTCCTCCCCACTCGCTGCCATCACTGGGGGCATGGCCCAGCAGGCACAACTGGGGGTGGGGTGGGTATTCACTCTCTGCCTGGCTGAGCTGGTCCTGGATGGAGGTGCTGGACTGGGAGCTGCAGGCCCCGCTCAGCTGCTGCTGGAGCAGGGCAGGGCTCAGTTGGGCCCAGTCCTCAGGGGACACCCCAGTCTGCTCAGATATCCCATACACCGCCATCACGGCCTTGGCACTTAGGCATACCTGGGAAGTGGCAGGATAGAGATCAGGGGCCTGAGCAGAACTGTGGGACCCCATCTTCCCTGAGAACTAGCCCATGGGCTGCTCACTGTGTCCCACATGCTGGAGTTGCTGTCGGAGGAGGCACGGGTCACAGGGTCTTGGGGGTTGGCATCCCTGCCCAGATGACTGCGGTCACTGTGGTCACCAGAGTCCTCTCCACCCACCCCCAGGCGCTGCATCAAAGTCTCCAGCTCTGGCGGGAAGAACAAAATCAGCACACAACCTCTGTGGGCTCCAGTGCTGCTCCCCTCCCAGGCACAGAGACTGGGTACTCAGGGCGCTCCCCCTACGTGGCCCAGCCTGAGCCTCACCGGCCAGTGTGATGTTGGGGGCCTCGCCACTGTGCTGCCGGAACACGAAGTCCACAAAGTACTGAGGGCTGGGCAGGGCCTGGAAGCAGGACCCACTCCTGACGTGGTCCAGCACGGCAGCCAGGACCCGGCCGGGGCTACCAGGGGCCCCTGCCTCCACCACCTCCTCCAGAAGCTGAGGGATGTCTACACAGGCCTGGGAGAGGAGATGGGCTTCAGCCCTTGCCCTCAGTGTGACCTGGCCTCCAGCTCTGCTATCGATCCTGGTGCCCCTGAATGCATCTCCCGCTGACCCCCAAGCTCTGCTCCCCCCAGCCTCTCCAGGGCACTGCCTCTTCCCACTCACCTAAGACCTGGGCTCTGCCTCAGCTCCTCCCTGCCTTGGCCCAGCTGGCCTGGGGCGCCACCCTGTCTCTGGGCTCTTCCTTGTGTCTTCAGAGCTTTCTCGGCCCTCATATCCTGGTGAGGGCCCCCCTGCTGTTTCTACAGTACCTGCTCCTGCTCAGTGGTGAACACTCATTTGTGATCCCCCAGCCGACTCCAGCCTCCCGAGTACTGCTCAGACATCCCCAGGTGCCCTGAAAGGCTTTGCAGTGGGATGTTCCACCTGCTGCAGTCAAGTCCAACCCCCTAAGTGGCCCCCCTCCCCTGACCCTCGGGCCCTCACGCGACCCTGGCCAGCCTGCCTGGGCCCTCACCTCCTCTGCAGTGGCCCGGCCAGCAGCCTGGGCCTGGATCCTCTGGAGCAGCTGGCTCAGGCCAGCGGTCAGGGCCTCGGGGCCCTCAAGCAGGGCCAGGAGGTGGTCAGCACGAGAGGCCCAGCGGCCAGCCCGGACGTCTGTGCATGTGCCCTCCGGGTTGCTGAGGTAGAGGGCAGCAGCAGCGCTGAGGCGGGCAATGTGCCTGGACTCCAGGACCGGTGAGGGGGAGAGCCCTGGCTCCTCAGGCCTGCCCAGGGCCAGGGCATCCTCCACAGACAGGCACTGCAGGCAGAGACAGGTGGGCAGGGGCCGGGCTGGGCCCATCAGGGAGGGGAGGCAGGCCCGGGCCAAGGGAGCTGCCGAAGGGCCTGCTCTCCACGCCCTCCCATACTCTCATCCACACCTTCCACATGCTCTCTCCCACACCCCTGCCCCCTTCCCTCTCTCCAGCTCCTTGCTGGGCTCATCCGGCTACAGGCATGTACAGAGTCCCCACATTGGTCCCCCATCCTGGGGTGGTTTCTTCCTGGAGCCACCACTGCCAATTTGATGACCCAGGGACTGATGGGAAGGTGGCCCCAGGGTCCTGGGGAGAAGTGGAATTATGTGTGCTCCCTAGGGAGAACAGACTTGTCTGAACCCCCAGCGGAGGAGAGAGGGCTCTGGCCTGCGGGCAGGGCCGGGTGCTTACCGCTGGCCTCGGCCCACCTCCTGGAGTTTGTCCAGGGCCCTGTGCTGCCACCTGCAGGGTGGAGCGGGTGGAAAGGGGCCAGGGCTGGGGGATCCGTCGGGTGGGGCTGTTACCTTTCCACACGGCCCGTCGGCGCAGTGCACACGAGCCGCCAGCATATTTAACAGGCTGCCCAGCACCTCGCGATCTAGAGCGCCCTGGCCCGAGGTGAGCAGGCTCAGCAGACGGGCGGGCTGGGCTGCCTGGGCCACCTTCGCTGTCACCACCAGCAGGGCCAGCAGCAGCCCCGGCTGGAGCCAGGCCAGGACCGCCATACTTGGGCCCCAGAGTGCAAGATGCTGTGGGGAGGCCGTGTGCGTCTGGGCCAGCTGCGGGCTGCCTGGGGCTGGACTCGGACGTGCCCGGCCCCAGCGCAAGGACCTTTCCCAGGTATTTCCTGCAGGGCTCTGTGATTGGCTGCTGGAGGCACCCTGAGTTAACCATTCCAGTGGCACGTCCTCCCCAAGAGCGACAGCGAGGAGCCACTGCCCGCGGGGGGCCAGGGCTGGGCCCCTTCTCCTGGATGGGTGGTCTGGGTATCACTCCCCTGCCCGCCACCCCCCTCCCCCAAGAGCTGTGGGGCAGGGCCACACCCTCTCCTCCCTCGGGCCTAGGGTATCCCCCGCTGTGACCCTCTTTCTGGGGGCTGCCCCCAAGCTGGGGGATCTGGGGCAGAGATGTATGGTGCCACCATGCTGACCCTGGCCTGTCCTGACACTGACACCCAAGAGCCCCCCAGGGCCACACCCTTTCAACTGCCTCCCAGCTCAGGCAGCCTGGACAACCCCAAAGCCTTTGTGGCCCAGAGGGTAGGTGGAGTCCTGGGGCCCTCTCCTCCTGGGCCCTGGGCTGTGGTCTCTGCAGAAGGTTAGGAGGAGTCTGAGGGAGCTGAACAGGCACCTGCTGGGTCATGCTCCCCTGCCCGGACCTTCCAGGGAAAACCCCTGGGAAATGGCCAAAGCCCCAACATAGACAAACAGGAAAGGAGCCAGAAGACTGGACGTCAGCCCACCTGGCTGAGGAGGGAGCGGGTTGGGCAGGACCCCAAGCTCTGGGTCCCGGGAGCTTGGGGGAGGGCTGTGGTTCCCAGACCTGCCCTTCCCTGCTGACTTCCTGTCCAGCCTTTGAACCCCTAAGCCTTATCTCTACCTAGGAGGCAGTCTAGGAGAAGGGTGGACCCCAGTGAGCCCACACCCCCAGGTCTCAGGGCAGCCTTGCCTTCTGGAGGGGAAGGGTGGGGAGCCTCAGCAGCACCTTTGCCCCCTCCCACTGCATCCAGCCAGCCCAACCCCGAGCCCTGTGGGGTGTGGTTGGGGTGGGGAGCTGTGAGCCCCAGGTCCAAGGACTCTGTCCCCGACCTCCTGCCACAGGCAGGGCAGGGCAGGGTGGGTGTCAGGCCAAGAATGTCCTGGGCCTTGGGGTCAGGCAGTTCTTCCACCTGCCCCACCCACGCACACCCTGGATAGCGTGATGCCCTGGACTCCTGCAGTATGACGTCCACCTGCAGGCCCTCAGGGAAGCTGGGGTGGGAGACAGCCTGCCTGGGGGTGCAGATGATTTCTGGGCTCCTGGGACACACACAGCTCTGAAGATGCTGTGGGCCAAACTGGCCCTTTTCCTCCCCCACTGCTGCAGGACCACTGGGCTGGCTGGAGGTCAGGACCAGGTTGGCTTCCTGCAGCTGCTGCCTCTGGCCACCTGCTGCTCAGGGGCCCGTTAGCTTCTGGGCAGAGGTCTTGGCCTAGGCCTTCCCAGGACTGAGAGGCAGACTTGCCAGAGCCCTTCAAGGTCTGCACACGGCCAGACCTTCCCCAGTGGGCCTCAATGCTGGCCGTGGGCCTCCCGTTCCCCTGATTCATGTGTCCCCACCTCTCCCAGCCGAGACCCCACTTCCTAGCTCAGGAGCAGCCAGTGAAGAGTGTCCCCAGCTCCCTGCCTGCCCACCAGCCTGCCTGCTGCTGGCTTCCTCAGTACGGTTGGTCCTCTGGGCACATCACCTTCTCCTGTGTCCCCAGGCCCTTCCTGCATCATGCCATCATCCAGCAAGCACACTGCAACTGTTCTCATCTTAAAAACAAAATATAGACCCACATTCATGGCAGCGTTATTCACAGTAGCCAAAGTGGGGGAGCAATCCAAGTGTCTACTGACGGGCGAATGGATAAACAAAAGTGGCCTAGGGGCCGGCCCGGTGGCACACTGGATAGTGCGCCGCTTGGGAGGTTCGGCGGCGCTCCCGCCCGAGGGTTCGGATCCCACATACAGACCGGCTCCCGCTCACTGGCTGAGCAAGGTGCGGGGGCAACACCGAGGGTTGCGATCCCATTGCCAGTCCCTGGTCTGGTACGGGGGCGACACTGAGGGTTGCAATCCGTTGCCGGACACGGAAAAAAGACAAAAGACAAAAAAAAAAAAAAAAAGTGGCCTATACATGCAATGGAATGCTACTCAGCCTTAAAAATGGAAGGAATTCTCACACATGCTACACGGATGAACCTTGAGGACATGCTCAGTGAAATAAGCCGGTCAGAAAAGGACAGACATTGTGTGATTCCACGTGTGTGAATGTGTCCAGAGGAGTCAAACTCATAGAAACAGGAAGTGGCGGGGTGGGCACCAGGGGCTGGGGAGGAGTGGGGAGACGGTGTTTCATATGGACAGAGTTTCAGTTTGGGTAGAGCAGAGTTCTGCCGGTGGACGGTGACAGCGGTTGCAAGACAACCCAGATGCACTTAACACTGCTGAAGTGTATACTTTAAAGTGAATAAAATGGCAACTTTAATGTATCACAATAATAAATAAAGTAGGTCAAAACCACCATCCCCGGCCATCTGACCCTCTGGCTCTCCTTGGCAGCACGATGTGGAGCTGCTGGGATGGGTGGTCTCTTCCACATCGCCAAGAGCCAGCAGTGCTCTGCCGTGTCTCCCTTGCCACCCAGGGTTCCCCCCGCCCCCTTGGGCTTCTTTGCTGGTCCTCTTCCTGCCTCCCAGCACAGCACCAGCAGGCCTCTTGGTAGGATTCCTCGCACCCGTGACCACAGATTGTGCCCTGGACACCTCCCTCCGACATCCGGTTGCCCGTTGGACAGCTTCTGTTGACCCCGCCCCAGTCTGTACACGCGGAGCGCCCGCAGGCAGCAGACACGCTCATGGCCCTGCCTCCCTTCCTGCGTCCTCCGGCTCGATGTTGGCTCACCCAAGAGGACATCCCGGACCAACCATGGGCACCTCCTGTAGCAGCCTCTGACTCGGTTTTCACTGAGATGCTACGTGCCTTGTTCTGTTGGCTGGAGACACCAGAGAGGTGGAGAAGCACCCGTTTCCCAGGTACTAGAGAGAACGCTACGATTAAACTGTGGCACGCCCCCTATCCTCACGCCACAGTTGCTAAAAAAAGTGAAGCAACGCTCCACTGGGAATCCAGAGATTTGGCATGTGGCTAGCAGCCATCCCAGGACACAAGCAGGCGCACAGCAGACACTCGTGCCAGCCCTGGACACACTGCCTGCACACCACTGCTTCCCCACAGGGCTCCACACAAGACTGTCTGGGTGCTCCTGTGGTGTCCACCAGGCGTGGCTTGCCTCGGGCAGGGGACTCAGGGCTTTGCCAGGTGCTTCCAGCCCCACCCCACGAGTTCTCTGTCTTGGGCTAGCACGTGGTGTCCTCTGGAGAGGACAGGTGCAGGCAGGGCAGCCACTGCGTCCAGCCAGTGAGGGCGGGTGATGGGTGGTACAGCAGTCTGCAAGGAACTGGGTGGCCTCGCCAGGATCTGAGCTACATTGAATGGAGCCCCCAAGCTACCTAGAGCTCACAGAGGAGGAGCTGGGGAGAGGTGTGGCAGGTAGCCTCCTCTGGGGCCAGATTCAAGCTACACCTGGCCCAGATGGAGGCTCTGTTCCCCAGGCCTAGGTGCTAGGGCTCCCCACTACTTGCTCAGGTAGCACCCACCAGGGAGGCGCTGCAAGAACAGGCTATGGGAGGGGCACAGCAACAGTGACAGAACCAGGCTGCCTAGCTGGTTTGGGGGGGCAGCGGGACGCAGGGGCTCCATGCTCATGACTTGCCTCCTAGGAGGGCAGGACCCTTCCAGAAGGTCAGAAGCATAAATAGAACACACAGGGCAGGCCTGGGGGATCCGTCCACAGCAAGACGGTCAGATAGCATCTTTATTGTGGGGAGGGGGCCCTGAAGTCCTGACACCATGGACAGATGCACAGAACTGCTGTGAATGGCAGGATATGCACAGGTGTCCAGGGTGCACAGGGGACAATGGGAAACTGGAAACCATCAGGCGTGCAGGAAGCGGTTGAAGGCATTGTAGGCCGACTCCAGGTCGAAGAGCATCTGGCGCACCTGAGAATCATCCAGCTCATCGGATGCGGACATGCCGCTCAGCGTCTGCAGCCTGAGGGAGCACAGCGCCGCAGGGGTGTGGGAGCTGGTGGGGCCATGAGGGCGCCACAGGCAGCTCCACGTGGCCACGACGAACACTCACCAATGGCTGACTGTCTGGCGGCCCTCAAAGTCGGGGGGCAGGTGGCTCATGCGGCGCATGGTCTCCATCAGCTCCCGCAGGTCAGGCTGGATCTGCACAGACATGCAGTGTTGTCCCCGCCCAATCCTGTCCCCAGCCCCATCCTCCTCCCCTCCCCCTGCCCCTCCGGACTCCCATCCTGCACCTCGTCCATTGCACGGATCTCCAGGCGCAGTTTGTCCATGACTGTAATGAAGAGCTGTGGGCGAGTGAGCACATAAGCATTGCAGACCACCCCCTGCAGCTCACAGGCCCAGGGCTGAGCCCTGCCACCCACCCCTCAGGAGCCTCACTGGTCTGGCCACCTGTTCCCTTTGCTGTTCCTGCATGGGGGCCGCTGCACTCTTGGCCCTGGCAGGGTGGGCCTGCTGGGGCTGCGGGTGTGTGTGGGTCTTGATCGCTGAAAGCCACATGGGAGTGGGGCTAACCCCCTGCAGTCCTCCAGAAACCAGGATCCTGCCAGACTGGACCCTGTGCATTTCACCTCACAGGCTCCCAGGACACTACCCACTCTCTCATTCCCAGCTACAGTGGCGCCCTCTACCCAACAAGCCAGACTGCTGCTCAGCTCTGGAAGCCCAGGACTCTGCACACGGGTGTGACCAGATGTGGGGTGGTCTTGACCCCATGTCCCTGCAGGGCCCTCTGGGAGGCAGGGCGCACCGAGACAACGTCTGCGATGCAGCGGTTGAGGTTGCCCTTGTCGTCCTTGATGGTGATGGGCCGGTCCTCCTTGATCCTCTCCATGGCCAGTGGGCAGTCCAGCTGGGGTAGGGGGTGCTGAGGTGGGCACTGGGCATCGCCACGCAGCAGGCCCCATGCAGGCCAGGGCCCCATCCCAATGGCACCCCATGTTTGTGCCAAACAGCACTCCTCCCATGGGGCAAAGGGACTGGCTCACTCACACGGAACTTGCGGCAGAAGTCATCAATGGAGTTGATTTCTGAGCCCTGAACCTGCCGGAAGGCAGCTTTGTACTGGACCAGGAGCCGGGAGCATGCGGCAGTATACCTAGGGACAGGGCCAGCTGCTACCTAAGCATGGACCAGCCCGCTCGGCTCATCCTGCTCTCTCTCAGCTGCCAGAGAACAGCCCTCATGGAGAGCAGGGTGACAGGTCAGAGACAGGCCATGGAGGGCTGATGCTTCCATTGGGTCTGGACAAGAAAAGCGCTCTGGACAGGAGCAAGGAAGAGGAGCCAAAGTATGGCTGCCACAGGGGATAAGGCCCAGACTCTGCAGACTGGCCTGGGGAAGGGGTCCAGCCACCCCCTGCTGCCACGCTCTGCACCAGAGACGTGTTGACAGCTCATGTTCCTGTGGGGCAACCCACCAGGGGTTTGTGGCCTCACTGGACAAAGCCCTGCATGCATCCTGGGTGCCAGGCCTGGCCAGCACCACCTCAGACCGGATGTGCCCAAGTCTCCCGCTTGTCTTTTGAGCCCCTTTCATCAACAAGGCCATCGTACCTTGAGGGCAGGGCCGGGACCACACCCAGAAGCCCATCTGTATGCCTGTCCTCCACCACTGGATACCTCACCATCCCTCCAGGATGTCCTGCTAGCACCCAGGAGCACCCTGGCAGTGCTGGCTGGGCCCATAGACATGGGCTCCCTTGCAGCCCAAAGGACCCCCCAGCTCAGGCCCAGACCCCTGCTCGGGCTGCCTACTGAGTATCCAAGCCCTAGAGAGCAGAAACAGGCTTCAGGGGACAGCAGGCTGCCTCTCACTCGTTAGGGGTGACACAGTCCTTGATGTAGGCTTTCTCCAAGGCCTGCATTGTCTTCACCACCGCAAACAGCTCTGCCATGTTGTCATATCTGAGAATAACCTGTCTGTCAGGCCACAGCCCCCAGGCAGCTCTGTACTAGCCCACCCCTCCCACCCCATCTGGGGCAGACACTGAACTGTTTCCCCAGCCTGACCCATGTCCTCCCCGCCCCTCGGTGTGGGGTGGGCCTGGGGGGCTGATGGGCACAGGTGTGTGTGTTGGGGGCAGCATGGGTGCTTAAACTCACTTCTCCCGCTCCCGGGCATTCTTGTACAACTTCACTTCCTGTCAGAGAGAGTGGGCAGCGTGTCAGCGGCTCCCCAGGGTGGCCACAGGTCCCGGGCTAGGGTCCTATGGGTGGCCAGATGGGCACCTGCCACTCACCTCGTACAGCTCTGGCTTGTTCCCGGGGGCTGCAACAGAGCAAGCAAAGAACTGGCAGGCTGGTCACAAGGACAACCTGGGGCCAGACCGAGTCCCAGGCCCCATCAGTTCCCTCCCTGTGCTGTGTCCCAGAGAGCCCAGAAGGAGCTGGAGGACTGCCTCTGAGGGGATGGAGGCCGAACACCCAGCCTGGCACCTCCTGCTCCATCACTGCTCCTTAGCTACCTCACCTGTTTGTCAGGGAGACCCCACTTTGCTTACAGTGACGTGGCACAAACAAGGACTGCTGCATACTTTGTCACCTTTCCTGAGAGCTTGGTGACCCAGGGATGCCAAGGACCCCCAAGATCTGGCCACACTAAAGCTTGTTATCTCTGTGCCCAACAAGGCCAAACCGGCCCTGCTTGGAGGTCTCTGGGCCCTCAGCGCTCTCATGATAAACTGCTCCAGTCCCTGGCTGCCTCCAGAGGATCTGAGAGTGGAGCGGGGGCGGGGGACTCACAGACACTCCCCCTCCCACCAGCCACTGCAGCAGGGGCTGAAAGCCTGGGCCCTTCAGGCCCCCTAGCTGGGCTCAGGCCATGCTCACCTCCCATGCCTGGAGTGGCTGGGATCCCATGGAACATACTGCAGGCTCTGGCGGCCACGGCACCGAGACCTGGAAAGCAGAGCCAGTGCCACCTCAAAGGTAACCCCTGACATCCCTAAGTGCCAGGCCTCAACAGCGGGGAACACACAGGGCAGTGTAGGTTTGTCAGGAGGAAGCAAAGTGCTGAGGAGCAGACCCAGGAGGGCAGAGTGTCGCATGCAGTGGGGCTGCCCAGGAGTGTGGTTGAGGCTGGCTTGGGGGGTGGGGGTGGGGAGGCGGGGCTGAGGAAGGGAAGGAGGGACGGAGGAAGGCAGGCAGCTGATGGGTGACCTGGGGAGGAGCGCTTTGGGCACAGGGACCAGCACACTTAACACGAAGCTTCTAAGAAAGAAACACGGAGGAAGACAAGCTTGGAGACCGGAGCTTTCTGAGGGGTGTCCTAGGGGATGAGGACAAAGAGCTGGGCTTTACTCTAACACAGCAGGAGCCCCTGGAGGGTTGAAGACAAGCTCGGTGGGGCTCCTGGGTGGAAGGAACGGAAGGAGAGCCCCACGCGAGGGTCCTGCTTGGTAAGGACGCTGATGCCGGTGACTGGGGCCGGTTCCGGACGTGCTTTGGAGGTGGAACCACCAGACCCACAGGATGATTTCACACGGGGGGGAAATAAGGAAGGAGTTAAAACGACACCCTTGTTTTTGCTTCAATGACGCCACGACAGCCAGGTGTGCTGAGACCGAGGGAACGGAGCAGGAGCGGTCCGGTGGCAGGGCGGGGCTGGATCCAGACCCCGGGACGTAGGCGGCCTGGGGCCGCGGGGGACGACGGCGTCCGGGGCACGGTCCGGGCCGATGGCCCCCCCGAGGGCCGGGCAGGAGGCGTCCCCGCGCTAGGGACCCACTCAGGCGCCTGCTGTACCGGAAATCCGCCTTGGCCC